GGGTTTCCTCCCAGCTTCATCACAGGAGCCTGCCGGAGAGGCAAGACTGGAATGTAACCTGAGGAGGAGACTCCTTTATCTGAGTCTGCTATAGGCTGGGGAAAGGCTGCCTGTAGGGGCAGTCCCCATAACAGAAATAGTTTGACACAATAGCAGTGATTCCGTGCGGGTCAGGATCTTTTCAAGTTTCCAAGTAAACAACTCCCAGGGGCTGAAAAGGCAGGAGGAGGGTGATCAGGGTCCCTCCCATCCAAGCAGCAGATTCAATTATAACCTGAGGCCATGGGCACACCGAGGAACGCAAGCGCATAGAACCGAAGAATTGAAACAGACAAACAGAGAGGACACAGATAATTTAGTTTCCCTTCAGCTCGTTCTGCTAATTCAAATTGGAGACTGGCTTGAAACGCAACAAACAAAAAGCCAAATTCTTTCTCAGCACTTGCCAGAAAGACTAACGCTTCCAGAGAGGGTGCAGACCAAAACTGCTCCCCATGTCTGGGGGCCTAACAAGCTAGAGACCCATTTCTGGGGAAATACAAGCTAGAGGGCTAGTAATATAACCTGCTTCTGAGCCAAGCCCAACCTTGGGAAAAAGCCAATTAAAATCTTAGCCAGTCAGAGGTATAGAACTCTGTTTGCTCTTTGTGGCGGAGGCCTGCAGTCCTTAGTGCTCTCGGATGGAAGCTGAAATCAGCTGGGGTGCCAAGCCATCTAGGGGGTCTGAAGGCTGGGGCCCTTCTCAAAAACAGGGTGTGCCTGTGGAATCTCCTGAAGGAGCCCTGAAATGTAATGGCAGAATTCGGGTTGTATTCCACAAGAGACCGAGTCTATTGAGAGCAAAACCAGAGTTTATTTAGTTTTGAGGATAGCCACCCTTCCTCCCATTTGCCAATCAGGGAAGTGGGCAAGTGGGCCTGCCTTTGTCCCACCTTATATACATTTTTGGTTTCCGTGGTAGCAGATTGGAATGTTGTAGCCCTGGCCACTCGTTTTCCTTGTGCCACATGACTGGGTCAGGCTCTGGTCATGAGCCCAACCACAATGATATATACTTTCTGTACTCTGTTCTATATGTCCCCCTTTAGATAACCATACATTTCCTTTATGGTTACAATGTTTATCTAGGGCCAGGGAAGGGATGAAATAACCCAGGCAGGGTCATAGGTGGCTATCCAGGCCCCCGGTGTTCTTTGTCTTTGGAGAAGCATTCCAGGGCTAAGTCAGGACTGCAAAGTTAACTTTTTACAACCCCTTTGGGATGTTTCTCAAGACACATTTTGAGGCTTGCATTAAGGGTAGAATTATTCTATCTTAAAATGATAT